CCATAGGATTAAGGACTTGCCCGAAACGCTACGCGTACTAGTGGCTGTACAAGAATGTAACAACTCTTGTATATACTGTTATACTGTATATACTAAAAAAAAAAAAAAAAAAAAAAAAAAAAAAAAAAAAAAACATAATGTTGGACACTATAGATAGAGGCAGGACACAAAATTAACTAATAAGTGAGAGACCACATAATACGTAATGTACCCGGCCATTGGCCGTAAAAGACCTAATGAATAAGGAGAAGGGGGTGTGACTACAAGTAAGGCTTACTAGCACCTAGACTGGGCAAAGTATTAGCTGCGGACAGCGGGACACTTGGGGACCGGCGCTGCAAAACCGCAGGCCAGCGGCCGGACCCGCCCCCCCCCGAAGGTGAGTGCCATCTGGCCGCGTGATGCACTCATAACTGGCAGACCTATATCGTCCCGTCTGCCGTTGTTGTCAAAAATATTTGAAAAACTAATCTACAAGCAGCTTTACTCTTATCTAGCCAAACACAATATACTTAGCTCTTGTCAATATGGCTTCAGACCCAAAAAAAAACACTAACGATGCACTTATTAGTATGATTAACTTGATACATACAGCTCTTGATAAAAATGAGTTCCCTGTTGGGTTATTTGTGGACCTGCGTAAAGCTTTTGACACTGTCAACCACCAAAACCTTCTTCTTAAACTACATCATTATGGAGTCAGAGGACACTCCCTACAATACCTCAAATCCTACCTTACCGACAGGCTCTAGTATGTTTCTGTGAATAATTCAATTTCTCCCACCCTACCCATCAACATTGGTGTTCCTCAGGGCAGCATACTTGGCCCTCTCCTCTTTCTCATCTACATTAATGACCTTCCAAATGCCTCCCAACACCTAAAACCAATTCTATTTGCTGACGACACAACCTTCATTTACTCCAGTCCTGACCCCCTTGCTCTAAATGCCACAGTAAATACTGAGCTAAATAAAGTCCATCTTTGGCTAACTGCCAACAAACTCACCCTTAACATTGACAAAACTTTCTATATTCTGTTTGGCAATAAATCCTCTAATCAAATGAATCTCAAAATAAACAATACCCAAATTTGTAACAAATTAGATGGCAAATTCCTTGGCATTCTCATTGACCACAAACTGAATTTCCAGGGCCACATTCTAAATATATCAAAAAAAGTTTCAAAAACTGTTGGCATTCTTTCTAAGATCAGATATTATGTACCCCGCCCTGCCCTGGTGACTCTCTATTACTCCCTCGTCTATCCATATCCCAACTATGGTATTTGTGCTTGAGGTTCTACTCCCCAAAATCATTTACGTCCTCTAATTACTCAACACAAAGCTGCTATTAGGACAATATCCAACTCTAGCCCCAGACATCACTCGGTACCCCTACTCAAATCTCTGAATATGTTAGACATTAGACCAGGAGGCCGGTCGTCGACCAGGCCTCCTGGTTGCCGGACTGATCAACCAGGCTGTTGGACGCGGCTGCTCGCAGCCTGACGTACGAGTCACAACCTGGTTGATCAGGTATCCTTTGGAGGTGCTTATCCAGTTCTCTCTTGAACACTGTGAGGGGTCGGTCAGTTATGCCCCTTATGTGTAGTGGAAGCGTGTTGAACAGTCTCGGGCCTCTGATGTTGATAGAGTTCTCTCTCAGAGTACCAGTTGCACCTCTGTTTTTCAACGGGGGTATTCTGCACATCCTGCCATGCCTTCTGGTCTCATGTGATGTTATTTCTGTGTGCAGGTTTGGGACCAGCCCCTCTAATATTTTCCACGTGTAAATTATTATGTACCTCTCCCGCCTGCGCTCAAGGGAGTACAGTTTTAGGCTCTTTAGTTTTACTGAGTGGATTCTAGCAGTAAAGGATCTCTGCACGCTCTCCAGGTCAGTAATTTCTCCAGCTTTGAAAGGTGCTGTCATTGTGCAGCAGTACTCCACTCTAGAGAGCACAAGCGTTTTGAAAAGTATCATCATCGGTATAGCATCTCTAGTGTGAAAAGTTCTTGTTATCCAACCTGTCATTTTTCTTGCAGTTGTGACGGCTACTTTATTGTGTTCTTTAAAGGTAAGGTCTTCCGACATGAGTACACCCAGATCCTTTACATTGCCTTTTCGTTCTATGTTATGATTTGCCTGAGTTTTGTACGTGGTTTCCGTTTTTATATTTTCATTTTTTCCATAGCGCATGAGCTGGAACTTATCTTCGTTAAACACCATATTATTTTCTGTAGCCCATAGAAAGACCTGATCTACATCTGACTGGAGGTTCGCCGTGTCCTCTATGTTGCCTACTCTCATGAAGATCCTAGTGTCATCTGCAAAGGATGATACAGTGCTATAGGTTGTGTTCTTGTCTATGTCCGAAATGAGGATGAGAAAAAGTACTGGAGCAAGCACAGTACCCTGGGGGACTGAGCTCTTCACGGTTGATGGGCTGGATTTTATTTTGTTGACTATTACACATTGGGTTCTGTTGGTCAGGAAATTGTAGATCCATCTGCCTATTTTTCCGGTAATTCCTTTTGAACGCATTTTATGTGAAATAACACCATGGTCACATTTATCAAAAGCTTTTGCGAAATCTGTGTAAATTACATCCGCGTTATGTTTGTCTTCCATAGCATCTAATGCCATATCATAGTGGTCCAGCAACTGATTCAGATTCAGATTCAGATGTTTATTCAGGTAAGGTATATACATACAAGTGATGTTACATTAATGGATTGATATATAGATAGAGCTAGTACATACAATGCCTAAAGCCACTATTACGCAATGCGTTTCGGGCAAGAAAACATTAATATCTAGAACTTAATACTAATTGAGCATAAAGAATAAAAGATGTTGAGAACAAATACAAATAAAGATAAAAAAAAAGGGGGAACATGACTGAAAAAGCAGCACAAATACAATAGGTTGACAAACAGTGTTGATTAAAAAAAAAAGAAAATAACAGACATGGGTTGACAATAGAGGAGTGAGGTAGATTACAGGGAATTTATTAGGTAGTGTTTAGTTTTTATCTTAAACTGGTTGAGAGAGGTACAGTCTTTAACATGGTTGGGAAGGTCATTCCACATTCTGGGCCCCTTGATTTGCAGAGCATTTCTAGTTTGATTAAGACGTACTCTAGGAATATCAAAACTGTATTTATTTCTGGTGTGGTGCTCATGGGTTCTGTTACAACCTTCTATGAAGCTTTTAAGATCAGGATTGGCATTATAGTTTAGCGTTTTATATATGTATAATACACATGAGAGAATGTGCAGTGACTTAATATCTAACATATTAAGAGATTTGAGTAGGGGTACCGAGTGATGTCTGGGGCCAGAGTTGGATATTGTTCTAATAGCGGCTTTGTGTTGGGTAATTAGAGGACGTAAGTGATTTTGGGTAGTAGAACCCCAAGCACAAATACCATAGTTGAGATAAGGATAGATAAGGGAGTAATAGAGAGTCACCAGGGCAGGGCGTGGTGCGACAGGGCAACTGCGACAGGCAAGAGTGCCCTGTTCTGAAACCATGTTGTCCGGGGTTATGGAGTTGCTGTGATTCCATGTATTTTGTGATTTTACTTCTTAGCACTCTCTCAAAAATTTTTATGATGTGCAATGTTAGCGCTATCGGTTTTATGATGTGCGATGTTAGCGCTATCGGTCTGTAATTTTTTGCCTCTGCCTTATTTCCTCCTTTATGAAGTGGTGTGGTGCTATCTCTGCTGTTTTTAGTATATCAGGAATAACGCCAGTATCTAGGCTTTGTCTCCACAGAATGTGGAGGGCCTGCGATAGTGGTTTTTTACAGTTCTTTATGAATATGGAGTTCCAAGAATCCGGGCCTGGTGCAGAGTGCATAGGCATACTGTTTATGGCTTCTTCAAAATCCAGTGGGGATAGGGTGACGTCTGATATATGATTTGATGTTGGTATAGTATCCATGAAAAATTCATTTGGGTTATCAATCTTTAGTGTGTTTAATGGCTCGCTGAAAACAGAGTCGTACTGCGTCCTCAGTAGCTCGCTCATTTCTTTGTTGTCATCGGTGAAAGTTCCATCTCCCTTTCGCAGGGGCCCGATACTAGATGTGGTTTTTGATCTTGATTTTGCATAGGAGAAAAAATATTTCGGATTTCTTTCTATTTCACTGATGGCCTTTTGCTCTCTTTGCCTCTCCTGGGTTTTGTATGATTCTTGTAGCTTCCGTTCAATTGTTTCTATTTCTCTACCTAACCTTCTTCGCCGTTCTTGAGATAGGGTGCGACTCTCAAGTTGTTCCGCGATTCGTTTTCTTCGCCTATATAGGGAACGACGTTCCTGTTCCAATCTGCATCTCTTCCTCTTTTTTCTTAGAGGTATGCGGTTTGAACATATTTCTAGTGCTACTGAGCTTATTTTTTCCAGGCACTGGTTCAGGTTTGCATTTTCTAGCTGTTCTTCCCAGTTTATTTCTGTGAAGTCCTGGTTTATTTGCTCCCAGTTTATCTGTTTATTATTGAAGTTGAATTTGCTGAAATCTCCTCCACCGGGAATCTGGACTGGTTTTGAAGGTCTACTCCCCATGGTTGTCAACTGTACAACTGTACTGTACTCCTACACCCTCCCCCAGGAGGGTGTAGGAGTACAGTAAGACAGTACAAGAGAGTACAATAAGGCCGGGAGGGTGTAGGAGTACAGTAAGACAGTACAAGAGAGTACAATAAGGCCGGGAGGGTGTAGGAGTACAGTAAGAGAGTACAATAAGGCCGGGAGGGTGTAGGAGTACAGTAAGACAGTACAAGAGAGTACAATAAGGCTGGGAGGGTGTAGGAGTACAGTAAGACAGTACAAGAGAGTAAAATAAGGCTGGGAGGGTGTAGGAGTACAGTAAGACAGTACAAGAGAGTACAATAAGGCCGGGAGGGTGTAGGAGCACAGTAAGACAGTACAAGAGAGTACAATAAGGCCGGGAGGGTGTAGGAGTACAGTAAGACAGTACAAGAGAGTACAATAAGGCCGGGAGGGTGTAGGAGTACAGTAAGACAGTACAAGAGAGTACAATAAGGCCGGGGCGGTGTACGAGGGCTGCTCCTCCCTCCCCACAACAACAGCCGTCACTGCCACTTGTCGTCGCCTCTCAACCAACACCAACAACACCGCTAAATGAACTCTTCCCTCACATGTATCCTCCGCCAGTCACTACCCAGGTCAGTACCAGTGTCCTCACATGTATCCTCTGCCAGTCACTACCCAGGTCAGTACCAGTGTCCTCACATGTATCCTCCGCCAGTCACTACCCAGGTCAGTACCAGTGTCCTCACATGTATCCTCCGCCAGTCACTACCCAGGTTAGTACCAGTGTCCCTCACATGTATCCTCCACCAGTCACTACCCAGGTCAGTACCAGTGTCCCACACATGTATCCTCCACCAGTCACTACCCAGGTCAGTACCAGTGTCCTCACATGTATCCTCTGCTAGTCACTACCCAGGTCAGTACCAGTGTCCTCACATGTATCCTCCGCCAGTCACTACCCAGGTCAGTACCAGTGTCCTCACATGTATCCTCCGCCAGTCACTACCCAGGTCAGCACCAGTGTCCTCACATGTATCCTCCGCCAGTCACTACCCAGGTCAGTACCAGTGTCCCACACATGTATCCTCTGCCAGTCACTACCCAGGTCAGTACCAGTGTCCTCACATGTATCCTCCACCAGTCACTACCCAGGTCAGTACCAGTGTCCCACACATGTATCCTCTGCCAGTCACTACCCAGGTCAGTACCAGTGTCCTCACATGTATCCTCCACCAGTCACTACCCAGGTCAGCACCAGTGTCCCACACATGTATCCTCCACCAGTCACTACCCAGGTCAGTACCAGTGTCTCTCACATGTATCCTCTGCCAGTCACTACCCAGGTCAGTACCAGTGTCCTCACATGTATCCTCTGCTAGTCACTACCCAGGTCAGTACCAGTGTCCTCACATGTATCCTCCGCCAGTCACTACCCAGGTCAGTACCAGTGTCCTCACATGTATCCTCCGCCAGTCACTACCCAGGTCAGCACCAGTGTCCTCACATGTATCCTCCGCCAGTCACTACCCAGGTTAGTACCAGTGTCCCTCACATGTATCCTCTGCCAGTCACTACCCAGGTCAGTACCAGTGTCCCACACATGTATCCTCTGCCAGTCACTACCCAGGTCAGTACCAGTGTCCTCACATGTATCCTCCACCAGTCACTACCCAGGTCAGCACCAGTGTCCCACACATGTATCCTCCACCAGTCACTACCCAGGTCAGTACCAGTGTCTCTCACATGTATCCTCTGCCAGTCACTACCCAGGTCAGTACCAGTGTCCTCACATGTATCCTCCACCAGTCACTACCCAGGTCAGTACCAGTGTCCCTCACATGTATCCTCCACCAGTCACTACCCAGGTCAGTACCAGTGTCCCTCACATGTATCCTCTGCCAGTCACTACCCAGGTCAGTACCAGTGTCCCACACATGTATCCTCCGCCAGTCACTACCCAGGTCAATACCAGTGTCCCACACATGTATCCTCTGCCAGTCACTACCCAGGTCAGTACCAGTGTCCTCACATGTATCCTCTGCCAGTCACTACCCAGGTCAGTACCAGTGTCCCTCACATGTATCCTCCGCTAGTCACTACCCAGGTCAGTACCAGTGTCCCTCACATGTATCCTCTGCCAGTCACTACCCAGGTCAGTACCAGTGTCCTCACATGTATCCTCTGCCAGTCACTACCCAGGTCAGTACCAGTGTCCCTCACATGTATCCTCCTCTAGTCACTACCCAGGTCAGTACCAGTGTCCCTCACATGTATCCTCCACCAGTCACTACCCAGGTCAGTACCAGTGTCCTCACATGTATCCTCCACCAGTCACTACCCAGGTCAATACCAGTGTCCCACACATGTGTCCTCTGCCAGTCACTGGCAGGTGAAGGTGGTGGAGGCCAAAACCGTCAGTAATTTCAAAGCATTATATGACAAAGAGTGCTGGGAAGACGGGACACCATGAGCGTAGCTCTCATCCTGTAACTACACTTAGGTAATTACTACCCAGGACCTAGATTCACGAAGCTCCGTTTATTTCTTCGTAAGTATGTGTGCTAAGAAGGTTCCTAAGCACCGGCTAAGAACGCGCCAAAGGGCGATTCAGAAAAGTAAACTTTCGAAGACTTTTAAGTCTTCGAAACCTTGCTCTACGCGAGGTTTCTGTCCACGCTGAGCTGGCCTTAGGACACCTGCGTTATCATTTGACAGATGTACTGTCCCAGTCAAACTCCCCACCTGATAATGTCCTCGGAGCGGATCGATCAAGACCTAAGTAGTTCACTTAGGTCTTGCTTGATGTCACTAGGCTTTTAGTTTGGCCAATCAGAGAGAAGGTAACATTTTTCATTTGACAGCTATAGCCAATCACGACGCTGGCATATTGGAGCTTATCCGTGACTACTTGCTACTTACTTACGTTGAATTTTCTTTTAAAATTAATACATTTTGAAGTAAAACTACGTTTTTTCAACTTATACAGGCAGCACCGACATTGTAGTATACAAATATTTAATTGGCCCCAGACAGCACTCGGTACCCTTACTCAAATCTCTGAATATGTTTGATATTAAGTCACTGCACATCCTCTCATGTGTTCTCTATATATTTAAAACTCTGACTTGTAACATCAATCCTGACCTTAAAAGCTTCTTAGAAGGTTGTAACAGAACCCATGGGCACCTCACCAGAAACAAATACCTATTTGATATTCCAAGAGTACGACTTAATCAAACTAGAAATGCTGTACAAATCCAGGGACCCAGAATGTGGAATAACCTTCCCAATCATGTCAAAGGCTGTACCTCTCTCAACCAGTTTAAGATGAAAACTAAGTACTACCTAATTAACTCCATGTAATATACCTTACCCCTAAATGTCAATCCATGTCTTACTATTTTTTTAAACAACGCTGTTTGTTGACCAACTTGTATATTGGCTATTTTCTACCATGTTCCCCCCTTTTTTATCCTTTATTTTTTTTTCAACGCAATTGATACTTTAAGCTCAATTACTTTTAAGTTTTAGTCTAAGTGGTTTTTTTACCCACATCACCTTGCCCGAAATGCTATGCGTACTAGTGGCTTTAGGTATTGTATGTACTAACTCTATCTATAAATCAATCAGAATGTTTGTAACTCTGCATCTATGTATGTACTTTTCCTAAATAAAATATTATTATTATTATTATTATTATTTATATGTTACATTTTTTGTTTGCCTACGTAATTTTAAGAGATAATGTATAGCTTTCCTTGTCGCTCCCAACCTGGGTATTTACGTATATATTTACCTAAATTTACCCAAGGGGCCACTATTTAGTGGCCTCGACGAGGGCCAAAAACCTGGGGCTTGTTTAGTCCCGCCAATTGTCCTAATGATATTTTCTAGCTGGATTTTGGGATTTAGGCTTCAGCGGGTAGGTGGTTCCATGGGTTTATTTCTTTCTTTCTTTCTTTATTTATATACAAGAAGGTTATCTTGAAGTTATCTTGAGATGATTTCGGGGCTTAGTGTCCCCGCGGCCCGGTCCTCGACCAGGCCTCCGCCCCCAGGAAGCAGCCCGTGACAGCTGACTAACACCCAGGTACCTATTTTACTGCTAGGTAACAGGGGCATAGGGTGAAAGAAATTGCCCATTGTTTCTCGCCAGCGCCCGGGATCGAACCCGGGACCACAGGATCACAAGTCCAGCGTCCTGTCCGCTCGGCCCACCGGCTCCCTAGGTATCACAAGTCCAGCGTCCTGTCCGCTCGGCCCACCGGCTCCCTAGGTACTTTAGGTTTGTGAGGATACATAGCATGGTATTTACATTCTTGTAAAGCTGCTAGTATGCGTAGCATTTTGGGAAGGTCTTCATCTAACAGATAATTTTAACTAGGTAAATTCTAGTAGAATTTATAAAATGATAGGTACATTGCAAGAAAGAAAAATGAGATGAGAGAGATTAGTAGGTATATTAAAGTACATCAGTAGCTCTGATTGATTGCATTGAACAGGTTGATTGGGAATTTAACAAAGATTAATAGGTACAATACAGCATATTGATAACACACATAAGATGACAGCAATGATCACAATGGTAAAGTTGTTTGGATTAGATACATAAAGATTGGGAGATTGGGTAGCACTAGATACAGTGCAATTTTAAAGCACAAGGTAGGAAACTATGAAGATGAAATTAGGTACAGTTTTTTAGTTTTGTTTTTGAACGAGGCAAAAGTTGGACAGCTTTTCAATTCATTAAGGAGTGAGTTCCATAGACTAGGTTCCTTTATTTGCATAGTGTTTACACAGATTAGGATTAACTCTGGGAATATCAAAGAGATATTTATTTCTGGTGTGGTGATAATGGGTCCTATTGCATCTGTCCAGGGAGAATTTCAGAGCAGGGTTTGCATTTAAGAACAGGGCTTTGTAAATGTAGCTGACACAAGAGAATATGTGGAGTGAGTTTATGTTTAGCAAGTTTAGGGATTTAAACAAGGGGGCTGAGTGTTGTCTGAAAGCAGAGTTTGTTATTATTCTGATAGCAGATTTTTGCTGGGTGGTGATGGACTTGAGCTGGTTTGCTGTGGTTGACCCCCCATGCACAGATACCATAATTAAGATAGGGATAGATTAGTGCATAATATAGTGAGATGAGAGCAGAGTTAGGTACAAAATATCTGATTTTGAAGAGTAAACCAACTGTTTTAGAGACTTTCTTAGTTATATGTTGTATGTTGGTGCTGAAGTTGAGTCTCTTGTCTAGGAATAGGCCAAGAAACTTTCCATCATTTTTATTACTGATGTTAACATTGTCTATCTGAAGCTGAATTGCATTTGTTGATTTGCTTCCAATTAAGATGTAGTAGGTCTTTTCTATGTTTAGTGTTAGTTTGTTGGTTGACATCCATAAGTGGACTTTTTAATTCATTATTCACAGCATTATTTAGTGTGTATGGGTTGGGGTTTTTATAACCCTCAGGATGAAAACACATCTGTTTTCAGTCCTACTTGAGTGGACATGCTCTCCAACACAATATCTGTGATTGCCCTGTTATCAGTTACTTTAGACCAAATGGTATGAGGTATTTTGAGCTCTGTAATTACTTCATACACTCAAGAATATTGGAAGATTTTCTTGTCAGACAGTTCTTTTCTTTCCAGACAGTCATAACCAAAGGCAGTCAATCATTCACAATTGTAGTAGCACCGGTTAGGCATTTACAGTCAGTCAAACGTTCACAGTCAACCATTCAATCAGGCATTCACAGTCAATCAGGCTTTCACAGTCAATCAGGCATTCAGTCAGGCATTCACAGTCAGTCAGGCATTCATAGTCAGTCAGCCATTCAGTCAGCCAGCCATTTACAGTCAGTCAGCCATTCACAGTCATTCAGTCATTCACAGTCACTCAGGCATTCACAATTAGTCAGCCATTCACAGTCATTCAGGCATTCACAGTCAATCAGGCATTCACAGTCACAACCAGTCAGTAAAAAATAAGTTTAATGACAGACACTCAGGGAGTCTGCCTCAGCTGATAACAAAGAAGCCCACTGTATTAAATACCGTCCATATGGCTGGGAGGGATACAGATGGAAGGGTCCGGTGTGGGGGATGAGGGGGTGATGGTAGTGGGGATGGGGGAATGGATGTAGCGGGAGGGTGCCGGATGGGGGGGGGGGGGGTAGAGGTAATAGGGAGGGTGTTGGATGGAGGGGGGGGATGGAGGTAGTGGGGAGAGTGACCATCTCACTACTGCCCGCATACACACTGACACCGGCCAGTCTACTGCTGCTAACCTATCCACTCACTTTGCTGCCTGCACCTCCACTATCTGGTTGATATGGGGTTGATGGGGTTCTGGGAGTTCTACTCCCTATGCCCGGCCCGAGGCCAGTCTTGACTTATGAGAGTTTGGTCCACTAGGCTGGGCTTGCAGCGGCCCGCAGGCCTACATACCCACCACAGCCCGATTGGTCCGGGACTCTTTGGAGAAAATTTTCTAGTTTTCTCTTGAAGATGTCCACAGTTGTTCCGGCAATATTTCTTATGCTTGCTGGGAGGACATTGAACAACCGTGGACCTCTGATGTTTATACAGTGTTCTCTGATTGTGCCTATGGCACCCCTGCTCTTCACTGGTTCTATTCTGCATTTTATTCCATATCGTTCACTCCAGTACGTTGTTATTTTACTGTGTAGATTTGGGACCTGGCCCTCTAGTATTTTCCATGTGTATATTCATCCATCCAGGCCCTCTCCACCATCTATTCGTCCAGTCCCCACTCCATCCATCCATCCATCCATCCATCCAGTCTGCCTGTACCATCCATCCATCCAGTCCCCCTCCACCATCCATCCAGTTCCCTTCCACCATCCAGTTCCCCTCCACCATCCATCCATCCAGTCCCCCTCCACCATCCATCTATCTAGTTCCCTACACCATCCATCCATCAAGTCCCTTACCATCCATCCATTAAGTCCCTTGCCATCCATCCAGTCCTCCCAAATACGACATTCAAGCTAGGGGGAGACACTGGTAAACTGTGCACGCCTCGTCCCGCCCCTCGCTCAGCAGAACAGAACCACGCGCTTCGTGGACCTGGACGTGTATAAACGAATTCCAAGCACTGAGGCAAACAACGAGTACTGAATTGGATTTTTCAGAGAAATTGACTTCGAGTACCGAAAATTGCGAGAACCGAGGTTCCACTGTATCAGTTTGGAGAGCTTCAGGAACCCTCCGGGACAACCCCTTCCCTCATAAAATTGTTTCATTACATTCAACGCTGGTTTTTCAGTTTCTCGTGATCAGAGAATGCATTTCAACAACAATAAGAAAACAAATTTGGGGGAATAATTGTTTTTGTCTACACGCCAGGAGATTGTCATGTTTTATTGCTGCGCTTAACAGTGGTTAAATAAAGTGTTGTTAAACTTTGTTTCTTCTTGCAGCTCGTCTGTATATGAATAGAACTACTACACTTGGGTACTGCAGCATACCAGTGCCCTGAGCTCATGTAAATGGCAGAAACATGGCAGTTACAGGGTCAGTGATGACCTAAAGCTGTGTCAGATACTCCACGCTCCAACATGTCAGCTACTACACGATTTCCTTCACAGACTGACTGCCACTGGAACACTCTCAGCAGGCAAATACTACATGTACTCAGCAGTTGACTATTGCACGAACTCCACTCAGCAGCTGACTACTACACACACTCCCTTAACATTCATCTGCTACTTGCACTCCATCAGCAACTGGTGGATGTAAGTTCATAAGTTCAAAATGCCTAAGGCCATTTTATATTTTTTCTTGACCCTGACCTTTATTAATTTCTTTATACTGTCCTTCCGTCTTACTCTCAAGTGTTCCCATCAACTTACTGTACTCGGATATATATTTAGTTAATTATATTTTAGAATATAATATTCCTGAATTTTAGCATTCTCCTAAAGTGTGTCTGTCTCTTTTTTAAAGGTGAAGTTGTATATGAGAACTCGCTTATCAAGCTGGGTACCGTGCCGCCATCGATGCAACTAAAAAACATCAGTACTCAGAAGACACATTCATGATGAGATCATTAATTGCACTCACGGTTTTAAGAGTTAAGATTTAACATAAGTATATGCAAATAATTTTGTCAACATATTATTCATGAATATATATAATCACTCAGTGTTAAAAATAATTTGAATTTGCTTACCCCTGTGCATTGCCATAAGTTTGTATTCATGATACACACACACAACAACTTCGGTGCCTGGTGTAAAATTTCAACACGATCTAATAATTCCACTTAAAAATATGAGAGTTGACAAAGAAAAGTGCGAGAAGACTGCCACATCATTGTGGGTTGTTAACAGGTACTGTTATTAAAGCATCAAGTAGGATACATAGATCACTGGGAAGGAACCCACATCACAGTCCATAGTTTATATAACAATTCATTTTGTATGACAGCTTCAAGTACAGTAGCATTGAAAAGGAACTTTTTCATGTTATTTATCTTTTATATAATATTGCTATATCCTAAAGATCTTTGTATGAAAAATATCAAATTGTGGAACTTATAACATGTGAGAGTTGATCTGGATAAAATATTAGTTTTGAGAGTGCCCTCCACAAACACCGTGTTTTCTAGTGTATTGTAGAACATGATGCAGGAAGAAAATTTCAAATACACAAGAAAAGTCATTTAAAATTAACATTTTAAATGTTGATATATTTTAAAACTTGAATGTTGATCATTTAGAACAAAGAGAAGAGACCATAAACTTTCACAAAGTATAACTCCTTCCTGGTGATGGGTCTGGAATCACTCCCTTTTGAAACTAGTCTCAAGTTAGTAGCTGTGTCAGCGTTAAGCAAGGCAAATAAAAGTTCTTACACTAAAGCTTTAACAGTTCAGTATCAACAAGACCTAAACCCTGCACTTAATATATTGAGAATTCAACAGGAAATGAACCTTATTTGTGTTTAGTGTTTGAAAGGCTTTCAACAAAAATTTAGTTTATTGAAAGAAACCACATCTCTCTTTATAGTTTTAAAAAATATAAAACAAATTTAGTTCATCGGCACACACACAAAATAACTTATATGAGGGAGAAGGCATATTAGTGTTCACTGCACAGAATACTTTCTGTAAATACCTGGTTCAGTAGAACATGAGTATTCACGCTAAAGAAAATGCATATCAGTGTTCAGAGTGTTTTAAAAACTTCAAACAAAAACATGCCTTGGTGGCACATAAGAAAATTCATGTAGGAGAGAAACCATATCAGTGTTCAGACTGTTTAAAAGAATTTTCTCATAAACATAGTTTGGTGTTACACAAAAGAATTCACAGGAAAAAGGCATCGTACAAGTGTTCAATATGTTTCAAATGCTTTTCACAAAAACATAAGTTAATGATACATATGAAAACTCACACAGGAGAAAAACCTTATCAGTGTTCAAAGTGCTCAAAAAGTTTCTCTGATAAAGCTAATCTTGCATCACACATGAAAAATCACTCTGTTGATAAACCATATCAGTGTTCTGTGTGCTTAAAAGACTTCAAACAAAAATGTGATTTGGTGAAACACAAGAGAACTCACACAGGAGAAAAACCATATCAGTGTTTAGAGTGTTTAAAATATTTCAAACAGAAACATGGTTTGGTGGCACACAACAGAACTCACACAGGAGAGAAACCATATCAGTGTTCAGAGTGTTCACAAGATTTCTCTTATAAACCTGCTTTAGTATCACACATGAGAACTCACACAGGAAAAACTCCATATCAGTGTTCAGTATGTTTAAAATATTTTTCACAAAAGCATATATTGGTGACACACACAAGAACCCACACAGGAGAAAAACCTTATCAGTGTCCAGAGTGTTCAAAAGACTTTTCTGATAAAGCTAATCTTGCATCACATATGAGAAATCACACAGGGAAGAAACCTTACAAGTGTTCATTGTGTTCAAAAGACTTTTCATATAAATCTGGACTTGTTTCACACATGAAAATTCACACAGGAACAACACCATATCAGTGTTCAGAATGTTTTAAATATTTTTCACAAAACCATGCTTTGGTGAGACACAAGAGAACTCACACGGGAGAGAAACCATATCAGTGTTCAGAGTGTTTAAAAAAATTTTCTCACAAGCATGGTTTGGTGTCACACAAGAGAACTCACACAAGAGAGTCACTATATCAGTGTTCAGAGTGTTTAAAAGAGTTTTCCCAAAAGCAGAGTTTGGAGTCACACACAAGAACTCACAGAGGAGATGAATCATATCAGTGTTCAGAGTGTTTACTACTTTTTTCACACAAACAAGCTTTAGTGAGACACAAGAGATCTCACACAAAAGAGAAACCATTGCGTACTACTCCACTTGCACCAACACACTCACACTCAACACACACATATATCACTCGCCCTTGCGTGTCACCAAGTTACCTAAACCATTCACAAGCACCACCTACCCAGCTACACAAACCCCAGCCCACTTACCACCATACACCTGTTCTGACAACCTACTCACACATATCTATCCAGTCCACTCCTCAATACACATCTGGTCAGCCCACCCATGAAAATATGCTTGCCGAACCCACCCACCAATACACATCTGGCCAGCCTACCCACCAACACTCGACTGGCCAGCCTACCCACCAACACTCAACTGGCCAGCCTACCCACCAACACTCAACTGGCCAGCCTACCCACCAACACTCAACTGGCCAGCCTACCCACCAACACTCAACTGGCCAGCCTACCCACCAACACTCAACTGGCCAGCCTACCCACCAACACTCAACTGGCCAGCCTACCCACCAACACTCAACTGGCCAGCCTACCCACCAACACTCAACTGGACCCCCCACCCACCAACACTCATCTGATGAACAACACACACCAACCTACCATGCAGCACAAAGCCTTACACACCACCCACCCACACAACCTAAGCCACCCTTCCCACCCATCCACACCACCTCCCACCCACATAACCTTACTGTACCACATAGCTCCCACCTGCATTGGTGAAATAAACAAAAATCATATAGAAGAAAACCATACAAGTATTTAATAGTTTATCCTCTTTGCATTCTTCAGATGTGATTAATCACTTGTGGGCCCTTCATAAATCATATTATGAACACATTTCTACTGATTCTGTATCTGTCTTATTGTATATCATCCTTAAAATGAGGATATATGCAGATGTAACAGCCATGCCAGTCACTTGGAGCAATGGCAATGAAATTTGGAAACTGTAACTTTTCTGGGTTTCTAAGGAAGTGTAATGACCTTATAAATTTGCCTAATGGAAAAGGTTCAGCAAAGGTGATTAATTTGTGTAAAATGTTTATGTATGTTTCTGTGAGGATGTGCTCTCTTAAATGTTGAATGAAACTATTGTTAACCCTTAAGCTGCTAAGGGCCTTTTGACCTTCAACACCCACAGGCGCAACAACAAAATTTTTTTTTCTTATTACTGTATATTTGTGTTCCCTGAGCATGGGAAAATAAACAAAAAATTAATTGTACTTACCAATGACGTAAATGAGCCGAGAAGTTGGACGATGACGTCACGGATCATCGTCACTGGAGGGTGGTGTGTCCCGGCAGATTCAGGCGCGGCAGAAGAGCCCGGGTTGCCGTGAATTTATTTTTGCGGCATTATTTACAGTATCTGTGGCTTATTTTACAACCATTTTTTTCACTGGTGTGGTACAAAATGTTATCACTTGATGTTTTATTATAATACAACTGTTGTAAATTTATTATTTTGTCACATATAAGTGTCACAAGTATTTGCACAAAAATGTTTTATTTTTCAGTAAATATACAATTTATTATGAATTGTTTTCACTATATACACTCACTCACTCTGTATGTACATGTTTTTGCACCAGTCTTGGACATTGTCATCAAGACTGTGATACTTGTCCAAACATTTGACATAGCACAAAGGGACTTTACACGCTGTGCACCAAGTCATCACCAATTTACGTTTCTGTTCCCTCTTTTTTGTGGTCTTGCATACAAAGCACTCACGCTGGCCTACTGCAAGCTTTCCAGTTGGTGGTAAATACCTTACATTGTGTGTCAGAAAGGCATCCTTGAAAGAGAGCATGGTGCAATATTGGGTTCACAATGGGCCTCTGTATGTCAGAAATTGGTTTACCAAACGTTTCTAGTAATTGTCACTACAGTAAAACTGAACGTACGGAAATTTCGTTTACCACCTGTTTTGACAAGATACATATTAAATACAAATAAATATACAAATATTTATTCAGGTAAAGTACATACATACAAAATGAGATACACAAAGTTGATGGATTTATAGATAGAGCTAGTACATACAATGCCTAAAGCCACTATTACGCAAAGCGTTTCGGGCAGGAATTGTAACTGTTCAGTATTGTTACGTCAACAAGGTGGAAAAACATCTTGATCCACTTCACTGTTTTCCGAACACACATTACTGCCCCCTACCATCATGCCACATTTATCCACCAAACGCATGTTGATGTTATAGTCAAAACACAATCTGGCTTATAGATTATTTGTTTTGTTCTGTTCACCCTGCCACTGTCCACCATTGTACCATCGTGAACGGTGGTAAACATGTGCACTTCACGCCTGTCTTTCACCCGCAATAAAGCACTGCACCAGTTTTTCTTGGCTCGCAATCACCAACTTGCATAGCAGTGTGAAACACTGGCATTTCCCTTCGTTTTGCCTTCACTGTGACACACACTCCAATTCTATTATCAAGCAAGAACCTAGTTAGCAAGGGACTGGTATAATAGTTATCTGTGTATAATATGTGGCCCTTGTTCATATATGGTGCAAGCAGTGACTTCACCACACTACCTGAGAAGCCATGTTGGTCATTAGCAGGAATGTCTACATTTGTACCCGTATACATTATCATGTGTAACACAATCCCTGTTTCACAGTCACAAAGAATTTCAATCCATATCTGTGGCGTTTGGAGGGAATATACTGCTTGAAGGCAAGACTTCCTTTGAAAAGCACAATAGATTTGTCAATCACCAGCTTCTGAGTTGGTACGTAGAAATCCCTGTACTTTCCAATAAGTTCATCCAGGATGTGCTCACCTTCCAAAGTCTATCATCTTCAGGCTGGTCTTCATTATTTGCAAAATGAAGACACCTGAGGAGTATCGCAAATCTGTCTCGAGACATATTTCCCAAACAATGGTGTTGGAACAGTATGGTCTTTGCTCCAATAATGGTCGAGTATGAGATTGACAATTTATTTATTTATTTATTTAAATACAAGAAGGTACATTGGGTTTGAGAGAATACATAACAGTATTTACAATCTTGTAAAGTCACTAGTATGCGTAGCGTTTCGGGCAGGTCCTTAATCTAACAGATAATTTTAAGTAGGTAAATTCTAGCAGAATTAATAAAATGATAACAGATACATTGCAAGAAAAAAATGAGATGAGAGAGATTAGTAAGTATATTAAAGCACATTGGTATATTAAAGCTCTGATTGGTTACATTGACAGCTTGATTGGTAATTTAAACAAGATTAATAGACACCATACAGCAGATTGATAGCACATATATTGTAGCGAGTAGATTATCCCAATAATATACTCGCTCCAAATATAGTGTTAATGTTCCTGTCAACCTTTGGAGATGAATGAGGTGAGGCGTTGCCCGGGCAACACGGTGAGATGCCCGAGCAATATAAGCAGCGGTGTAGCGAACATTAACTAGTCTACTTTCAAGTGTGGTCTAGAGCAGACACTTGCGAGATACTGTACCGACGCTCAGTGCGCTCAACTCACACCAAAGTATCACCTGTGTACTTCTGTATATTCGACCAAATATATATATAGTATCTTAGTGTCTGTGTTTATTTGTCACCATACTTTACGTAACAATAGAACCGTTACATTGGTGACCCAGTGAGTGACAAAGAACACCTAGTCACAAACTAGATCTTCGCCATGGATTTATCTACCAGGTTTCCAGCATACAACGCAGATGAGCCAGAATTTTGGTTCATGCAGATGGAGGCTATTTTCGACCTTCACGAAATTTCGACTGAGAAAGCCCGATATGCCTGTACCCTGCCAACACTTACCTCGGAGGCTATGCACACTGCCTCCGCTGTCATCACCGCGCCATCACCGGACACCAGGACGTACACTGCATTGAAGGCCGCTCTTCTACAGGCAGCAATGAAACGCCGCATTCAACAAAGGGACCAACTCCTCACTGACAAAAGGTTAGTAGACAAAACACCAGCCCAGCTTCTGCGGCATATTCAGTATGTGATGCATACTGCAACTGGTCCAGCCCCCAGCGAGATTGTGAGATCACTGTGGATACAACTCTGTCCAAAACACATTCAATCGGCCCTATTCAGTATGGCTGACGACACCCCATTAGCCCAACTGGCTACACTGGCAGACCGGCTTCATACGACGTCTGATAACGCTACGCTGTCCCACCTCAGTGATACACAGCAGACTACAGACACCCAACAACTCGACGTCCTCCAGAACCGGCGTTTTTTCCACCCAGGGAAGACGTACCATGCGAATCCAGTATCAGTCTCTAAGCGACAGCGAGAACGTCGTGGAGAACTTTGTTCTTACCACCAGAAGTTCGGACACCAAGCCCGCAACTGTAGGGCTCCTTGTTCCTGGTCGGGAAACTACTTCGGCGGGGACTGTTAACGGCCAGTGACCCCGCCATTTCAAACACTACACTGCTCTACATATCTGACGTCATAACCAAACGCCGTTTCCTCGTTGACACAGGTGCAGCAGCTAGTGTGTTGCCTCCCCCACTGGTCAAACCAACCCGTACTCCTGGTTTGGACTTACGAGCCGCCAATGGTACGTCCGTCCGTACATATGGGACCCGCGCCCTGGTTCTCGAGTTCGCCTCTCTGGGTCGCTTTACGTGGACTTTCCTCATAGCGGATGTGGAACAACCCATTCTTGGATGGGATTTCCTGCAACACCATCGACTTATGGTGGATCCCGCAGGTGCAGTACTTCGAGCCTCTCCTAGTACCTCACCACAAGTTAACATCGTCACCCCAGTCGCATCTACGGAACTTCAAGCACTCCTGGATGAATTCAAAGATGTGACCCAACCCGCTAGCCCTCGACCAGAGGTGCAACATACGATTACGCATCACATTACTACAACGGGAGCACCTACCTTCGCCAGACCACGCCGCCTGGCACCGGAACGACTGGCGGTAGCACGTGCTGAATTCAATAAGCTACAGGAGGCGGGAATAATCCGCCCTTCGAACAGTCCATGGGCTTCACCTCTCCATATGGTCCCGAAAACAGCCCCAGGGGAATGGCGCCCTTGCGGAGACTACAGGGCTCTCAACGTTCATACTCTGCCGGATCGCTACCCAATACCACACATCCAGGATTTCTCACAGGGATTGAGCAACGCAACCGTTTTTTCGAGAATTGACCTTGTGCGGGCATTTCACCAGATCCCTGTGGAACCGGCAGACATTCCGAAAACAGCGATCACAACACCTTTTGGACTGTTTGAATTCGTCCGGATGCCTTTTGGTCTACGGAATGCAGCCCAGACATTCCAACGCTTCATCGACCAAGTAGTTAAGGACCTTCCTTTTTGCTACGCCTACATTGACGATCTGCTGGTGGCCAGTACATCACCAACAGAACATCTGCTACACCTCCGACTCCTTCTCACCCGTCTGCGCAACTTCGGCTTGCAGCTCAACTCCGAGAAGTGTATTTTCCATGTTCCAGAGCTGGATTTCTTGGGACACCGTGTGTCAGCAGCAGGGGTCCAACCACTAGAGAAGAAAATCGAGGCAATCAAGGAATTCCCGCGCCCATCTACTCCAAAGAAGTTGCAAGAATTTCTTGGTGTGGTGAATTTTTATCATCGATTCATCCCACATTGTTCGGACATCTTGCGACACTTATACGACCTCTTACATGGTCGGAAACTCACGTCCCGTCTTCCGTTGGAGTGGACTCCCCAGGCAGAGACAGCATTCACCGACATAAAAAACAAGCTGGCGGAATTCACCTTACTCGCACACCCAGTGTCTGACGCTCCCACCAATCTCTCTACCGACGCTTCAAACACAGCAATTGGTGCTGTACTACAACAGCTCATTGAAGGAGAATGGCGCCCAATTGCATTCTTTTCAGCGCGCCTGTCACCCACTGAAGAGAAGTACAGCACTTTTGATAGGGAACTGCTCGCCATCTACTCAGCCATACAACATTTCCGGCACTTTCTCGAGGGGCGGAACTTCCACATCCTCACAGACCACAAACCTCTCACTTATGCGCTGGCGGCCAAGGGTGATGCTCACTCTCCTCGAGTAGCCAACCACCTGGGATTTATTTCCCAATTTACCTCGGATATCCGTCATGTCAAAGGAACTAATAATGTCATAGCCGATGCACTGTCTCGACCCACCATAAACCACGTCGTGACAAACCCAGCTCAGGTGGACTATTGTGTAATCAGTAAGGCCCAACGGGAAGACCCTGATCTGCAGCGATTACGAACATCTGACACAGCTCTCCGGTTCATCGAGATTCCCATGGAAGGTGGCGGAAGTATAATCTGTGACACCTCACGGACGGGAGCACTTAGGCCCTACATTCCTGCCCAGTTTCGCTGGAAAACGTTCTCAGTATTTCACTCCCTAGCACACCCAGGAGTACGCGCTTCCCAGAAACTACTAACGGAGCGTGTTGTATGGCCAGGAATCAATGCCGATGTTCGACGATGGACTCGCTCATGTCTCCAGTGCCAGCGAGCGAAAACACATCGTCACACAAA